TGAGAGCGCTACAGCACAGGGCTGGTGGCGGAGAGCTGTATCACGGCGTGCTTGCAAACAGGCCAGCAAACTCATTTTATAATTGAGGCAAACGGAGCCAGTGAGCTGCAGTCGGGATCGCCAGGGGAGGCCTGTCTGAGCAGCGCCGGGGCAGATGTTTGCTGCTGAGCAGGCTGCCTCCAGATGTGGCACCGCCGCCTGTTTTCGGCGCAGCCTCCCGCACGCCCTGCCTTCGGAGGCCTGCAGCGCTGGCGTTTGCCTCCTGCTGGCTTGCCTCCCACGCGACTTGCCGCTTTGAAAACGAGGAATGCTCGAGCTCTGCCCTGGCAGGATAAAACACGGGTCGGGCCGGCTGACCCGAGTCCCTCTATTGCAGGGGTGAGGCCAGCCAAGCTGCCACTTAAACAAGGAGGCTTTAAACTTCCTGGCGGCCTCAGGCTCCTGGTGATGCCAGGAGCCTCCCAGGGGTTATCCGTTGCCCTTTCCCTGGGGCTCAGCCCACGATCTGCTGGGCTCGTTCCTGCAGCGTTCACAAACTTTCGCCCTTCCTAGCTCACCTGCACAGCTGAGGCGGGTCCCTGCTTCGAGGACGCGCTGGCCCCCGCGGGACCCTGTGAAATGTGCTGGCGGGAGGATTTTGGGCACTCGCGTGCTTTTTGACAGCCTGGGCTTTGCATCTCTCTGTCCTGCCCCTGGGCAGACATCGCCATGCCACCGAGCTCCCCGTGTCTCCGGAGAAGTGCTGCGGGAGGGCAGGTGAGGAGGTGGCACAGGGTGCTAGTGACTGGCGCATGGGTGCAACGGTACTACCCATTAATGAGTTTTCGGTGCAACCCCTTTGAAGTTGGCTGTGTCTGAGAAGTGCCTCCCCTCTGCATTCAAAGCAGGGAAGGATTTTTTTCTCTCCTCCCAAGGCAAATCCAGCAGATAAGTCAGAAGCTGGAGTAAGTTGCTGTCTTTTCATGCCTTCTGGGCTTGTATCTCGGCAGCCTTGTAGAAGTGGAAAAGTACACACTGACCTACTTTCTTGAGCGTGCCAAATGCAGCAGAGGGGCTGTTAATTACGGTGCCAGCCTTCCTCCCCCAGGGCCCTGCTGACGGGGTTACACGGAGCATCTCTCTGCCGCCAGCTAGCTAAACCGGGCGTCACAAAGGCAGCGTTGTTACCAGCGCAGCCCTCGCTGGCCCCGGGCCTCCGTTGCCAGCGTTAGGGCCGGCACAAACACCCTTCTGCCTGTCGCGCTTCCCGCTGCCTCCCCGCTCTGCCCCGGCCCGGGCTGCCAGCGGGCTCAGCGTTGCAGACCAAAGTCGTCAGGCTGCTGTGGATGGCTGTTTCCCTTGCACCCCTTAATCAATGCAGTGTGCCAGACCAGCCAGCAAAGGGGACTGCAGTGGAGAGTAGGGGCTTGTGCCCTTGGTTTGCTCCAGTTTGAGCTGCTCAGTTCAGGCCCTTTGCTGTTAATGAAGTGAGGTTGTTGTAGTTAATGTATAAAATAGTCTGGGAAGGGCATCGGGTTGTGCGTCTTCCAGCATGGGATATGAGCTCAGGGTGCCTGGGTCTATCCTCGTTGCTCCAAGCCCTGTGCGTACGTTGCTGTACGCTCCGTGTCCCACCAGGCACAACATTCAAAGCTCTCTCGAAATGAAAGCCAAACCTGCACGGCAGCAGCTCAGATGGGGAAACGCAATTGTGCAGCGTTGCCTTGCGGGGTTCCCATCTCTGTGCCCTAGGAGACGAAGGGACGCCAGGCCCCGATGCGCAGAGCCAGGGGCCCGGCTGATATAGCAGAACTAATCCTCTCTGAAGCGCCTCGGTGGGGTCGGATCCGACCCTGGCTGCCCGTGCGCTCCAGAGCTGGGCACTGCAGGGTGATGTGTGTGTGTTGAAAGGGTCCATCACTGGGGAAGAGCCAAGTGGGGAGGGAGCAGGTGGCCTGCAGGGAGCTCGGAGCAGGGGTGATGCAGGGATGAACCTCTGCTTTTTTTCCCTTCCAGACGTGGTGACAGACTTTGACTTCTCGCCGTTTGATCAGCTCCTGCTGGCAACAGGCTCCGCTGATGAAATGGTGAGTGTTTGGTGCAGCAGGGACCCAATGAGGCATGGTGGGACCCTGGCATATCTTTGTGGCTCACTGTTGATCACAGCTCGGAAGAAGGGCTGGGATACTTCAGGAAAACGGGTCCAGAGAGAGGGAGACAAGAAGAGCCCGGGGTGGAGGCTGCCAGCCTTCAAGGTGTGGAAAGTCCCCAAATTGTGAGGGACAGGGCAGATGACACGGGGAGACGGCAACTTGGGCTTGGTGGATGAGTCCAGCAAGAGAAACATCTCCCTTCGCTGACCACGTGTGCCCGGGGCTGCAGGTGAAGGTGTGGCGTCTTCCCGAGAGCGGCCAGGACATGCCCGCCGGCGCCGGGCTGACCCTGGGGCCCGTGGGCTGCCCTGTGGACGTGCTGCAGTTCCACCCCACAGCGGACGGAGTGCTGGCCAGCGGCGGCCGTACCCGCTGGCTCCCTGCCCCGTGACACGCGTTTCCTTTCCTCTCCGCTGTGCCGATGCCTGGGGCTACCCGGCACGAGCAGTGGGCACAAGAGCTGGTCTGGACCTTGGTGTCGCTGCATGGTCAGCGCAGGCAGCTTTTGGGCATGGAGAGTGGTGGCACCACAGCCCCTTTGCATGTGCATGGCCTCCCCTACGCTCTGACAGACTGATGCAGAGCCCAAAAGCTCCTGTACCGCCTGGCACATCTGTAGTAGCTCTGTTCGGGGTCCCCTGTGGGAGCAGATCCTGCTCCCCAGGTATGCCCGCAGCACTGCGCGTGGGTGGACCTGGGTGCTGTCGGGAGCTTGGCAGCACCAGGCTGCCGCTGGCCTGCCTTGCCCAAGCCGGAGCTAGACCCACCGGGGAGGAGAGGCTGGGAGTGAGGCCAGGGCATAAGCACCCTGCGCAGGGGCTTTCCCAGGACTTCTTCCCTACCATTTGAGCTGCCAACAGAGCTGGGATGCTCCCTCCACAAATGTGGCAGCATCCTGGCAGATCCTGGCCTCTTTCTCCGGAGCCATACGCCTGGCCGAGGCGATGTCGCCTTTCAGACAGGCCAGATCATGTCACCTGGGAAGCCCTCTGGTAGTAACAGATAGAAAAGCAACAGCTCCTTCCTGTATGCCTCCTGCAGGGGTCGCAGAGTAATGGGTTTCCATGGCAAAATTGCCCTGGAAATCCCTAGATTTCCCTGGAGATCTCAAGCGCCTTATAGAAAGGCTCATTAGAGGAAAAGAGTCAGAATGAGGGCATCGCTGGAAATCTCTGATTCCCGGACAAGTGTGGGATGTGTGGGCACACAGGCTGGGTCGCATCAAGGCTGTGTGTACCAGTGCCATCATGTTTTCAATGGTAATGAATTTAATTTAGGATTCAAAAAAGCCAGAGCATGATGCAGTCGTCATGCTCTTTGTGTGAAAAACATCACGCAGTCATCCTGGAGAAGAGAAATCCCCTTCCTTCATGATGGTTTTCTCCAGCAGAAGTGCATCCGTTTGCAAAACAAAAGTGTTCAGATGGGGAAACAAATAGGCAGCATGGTGCCAAACAGAGCTCCTGCTGGCAAACCTTGCCAGCTTTGCACCCCTGCTGTGAGTGCCCGGGGCCGGGGTGGGACGGTGCTGCTTGTCCTTTGGGGGAAAGACCACCGCTGGTGCCCAGGCCCTGCTGGAGGCCCTAACCATGTTCTCCTTTCCCAGACCTGGAGTCTCACGGGGACCAGCTGCAGAGCCTGTCCTGGAAGCAAGACGGCCGCCTCCTCGGCACCTCCTGCAAGGTGAGCAGAGCAGCCTCTGCGGCAGTCGTGCGCGCTGCTTCCCGAGCAGGTGTCCAGAGGTGTTGACCTTACCTGGGAGCAATGAAACCACCGTACGGTGTGAGTGTTTGAGCGGACATCCCTCCTCCTCTGCTGTAGGACACACGGGCATTTGCTGGGCCCCGGCTGCCCTGTGCAGGGCACTGGCCAGGCTCCTGCATGGCGTTTTGAGAACATTTATTGATGGTTCCTGTCCTCCACACAAGATGTTTCCAATGACTGTGTAAATCCACTTGAGAGAGGGCAGGGACTTGAGGGGCGCCGGCTGCAGATCTGTTCAGCATTGGCAGTTGTCCGCTCTGGAAGAGCAGCGTGGGTCCCAAGGGACCTTTGTGGCTGAGCTGGCCCCAGGAGTGGTGCCAGGGCGAGAGGGTTTGGGTGCTGCCTTCTTGCTGTTGAGCTGGATTTTATGGCTTTCTGCCCTGCTTGTGGCTGCCCTCCCTCCCTGACGGCCTGTTGGAGAGGCATCCAACATCCTTTTGCGACCAGAAGTCCGTAGACAGGTGCACAGGGATAGAGGCTGGTTTCTCTGCAGCTTCACCCCGCTGCCTCCCCTGGTCCTGCTTCCCCTCCCTGGCCCTCTGGGTACTTCTCGGCCAGAGGTTATTTTGCTGGGATGAGGCCCAGCTTTCAGGGAAGGGAAGGGCCAAATACATGGGGAAGGGGAGCGCGAGGGCCTTTGGAGAGGCGTCACAGGGCCTCGCCGCCTCTTTGCCGCAGGGCTAACTGTGCCCCCACCACACAGGCTGGGGTTCACTC